CTCAGTGTCGCGCCCGTACTGGACCGGGACCGGCAACGGGATCGCAACCCTCGGTGTTGCGCCCGCACCTCGCTCAGCCAGTGAGCAGCCGGTCTGTATGTGGGATCTGAACCCTCGGCGGGAGCACCGCCACGCTCCCAAGCGGCGCACTGTAGCAGTGCGCCACCGGGCCGGCCCCCAGTTTCCTCGAAATTCTGACAGGAATTTTACTTCAGCATGAAGTAAGAGCACCTAATCTTTCATTTTTTAAATCTCCTCTTAATAGTCTCTTTTTCTGTTTCTGTTGAAGAAAATTAAATATATTTATCCTTTTTGTTTTAGGTAAATATTTCAATTTATATTTGGGTTTCATCACATTGGAATTTCTCTCTGAAAAGATACACCTCAAGGTGAGTCAAGCTGATCAATTCATTGAGGAAAAATTATTGGCAAACAAAGGCAAAATAGGGGGATTAAGCAAAACCATGCATTATAGTTCTGCATTTACACATGAATAGAAATGGGGTCAGTGATTAATAAATAATTTTAATATGTTAGTTTAATATGTTAGTCATCCTTAGACTTTGGTGTCCTTAACCTTGATAGAAATGGAATTCATCAATGTTGACCACTGGCTCTTGGAAACATGTCATAAGGCTTGAAGGAGGTAGTTTTAGAACAAATCAAGGAAAAGATTACCTTTTAAATTGAGCAATATATTTATGAAATTGCTCCCCAAAAGCAAAATATCAAAATGGCTCCCAGAATGGCTTAGGAAGATATTTGACGACAACATTAATATCCACCTTTCCAGAAAATACTTTGGCTCTTCAACCCATTGAACTTTATCACTACCGTATTTCCTCTACCAATCACCTTCAGCCCCATTTTGCTCAGTTTTGGTCATAAGGAAGAACTGCTTAAGCAGTGGTAATGTATCATAAGGTGAAGCACAGCAATAAGGGAGACAGAAATTTCATGGGAATCCAAAAACAGGAACCATAGTTCAGGAACCTTCATCTCATTGACCTTCTGCCACTCCTGCAATACCTCTGTTTAATCTTTGCCATCCATTTTCTTTACACTTAATCTCCAGCTTCTGTAAAAACATAACAATAAACCATGCTGATTAAGTCCATTATGTGCGGCACAGGAATAGCACGTGAGGAAGGAGTATGCACAAGGTGAACAAGCTACCCCTATAAATTTCTAGGAGAAAAATATTTTTTAAAAACTCCTCAGGTTACGTGCGCGCCTGCATCACGTGGGCCGAGGCTCCCTTGCGGTCGCCGGCCGGGGGTTGAGCCGGGAAGCGGGAGCTGCAGCCACCGCTCGCCCTCCCTCTGCAGAGCCCCAGGGCGGGCGCGCGAATAAAGATGGCGAAGTGGGGGTAGCTGGCGCCAACCTAGAGCGATGGGCCTGGCAGGTGGGGCCGTTGTCGGATCGCCTTGACGTGGGCGCCGGGCTGTTCTCGGCCATTTGACCTGGCTACCCCGGGCCAGCCCCTGGCAGGTCAGACCACCGACTCCGCGGGTCGCCGAGGGCCCGGCCGTGAGCCGGAGGCACTGGACGAACAGAGCGTGGAGGTGAGACGTGCGCGCCTGCATCACGTGGGCCGAGGCTCCCTTGCGGTCGCCGGCCGGGGGTTGAGCCGGGAAGCGGGAGCTGCAGCCACCGCTCGCCCTCCCTCTGCAGAGCCCCAGGGCGGGCGCGCGAATAAAGATGGCGAAGTGGGGGTAGCTGGCGCCAACCTAGAGCGATGGGCCTGGCAGGTGGGGCCGTTGTCGGATCGCCTTGACGTGGGCGCCGGGCTGTTCTCGGCCATTTGACCTGGCTACCCCGGGCCAGCGCCTAGCAGGTCAGACCACCGACTCCGCGGGTCGCCTAGGGCCCCGCCGTGAGCCGGAGGCAACGGACGAACAGAGAGTGGAGAGCATTGCTGAAGTTTTCCGATGTTTTATTCGTGTGGAGAAATTGCGGGATGCACGCCTGTGTCCTCATTGTTCCAAGCTTTGTTGTTTCAGCTGTGTTAGGCGCTGGCTGACAGCAGAGAGCTCAGTGTCCTCATTGCCGTGCTCCGCTCCAGCTACGAGAACTAGTAAACTGTCGTTGGGCAGAAGAAGTAACACAGCAGCTTGATACTCTTCAACTCTACAGTCTCACCAAACATGAAGAAAATGAAAAGGACAGATGTGAAAATCACCGTGAAAAACTTAGTGTATTTTGCTGGACTTGTAAGAAGTGTATCTGCCATCAGTGTGCACTTTGGGGAGGAATGCATGGTGGACATACCTTTAAACCTTTGGCAGAAATTTATGAGCGGCATGTCACTAAAGTGAATGAAGAGGTAGCCAAACTTCGTCGGCGTCTCATGGAACTGATCAGCTTAGTTCAAGAAGTGGAAAGAAATGTAGAAGCTGTAAGAAATGCAAAAGATGAGCGTGTTCGGGAAATTAGTAATGCGGTGGAGATGATGATTGCACGGTTAGACACGCAGCTGAAGAATAAGCTTATAACACTGATGGTCAGAAGACATCTCTAACCCAAGAAACAGAGCTGTTGGAATTCTTACTTCAGGAGTTGGAGCACCAGCTGCGGTCTTGTAGTAAGAGTGAGTTGATATCTATGAGCTCAGAAATCCTCATGATGTTTCACAAGTTCATCGAAAGCCGATGGCATCCTTTGTTACCACTCCTGTTCCACCAGACTTTACCAGGTGTTCTAATGACAGTGCCACAAGCCATTCACATGATCCAAGGGTAGTTGGCAGCAAAATGGATTATCCCTTAGTCCATCTCCTGTGGTTATAGTTCAGATGTCTTGGGAGAAGATTGGATGGACTAAAGTTGCTTGAGTGAATTAGTACCATCTTACAATTCAGCTACTTTTGTTTTAGAGAATTTCAGCACTTTGCGCCAGAGAGCAGATCCTGTTTACAGTCCACCTCTTCAAGTTTCAGGACTTTGCTGGAGGTTAAAAGTTTACCCAGATGGAAATGGAGTTGTTCGTGGTTACTATTTATCTGTGTTTTTGGAACTCTCAGCTGGCTTGCCTGAAACTTCCAAATATGAATATCGTGTAGAGATGGTTCACCAATCCTGCAATGATCCTACCAAAAATATCATTTGAGAATCTGCATCTGATTTTTAAGTTGGAGAATGCTGGGGGTATAATAGATTTTTCCATTTGGACTTACTTGCTAATGAAGGATACTTGAATCGACAAAATGATACGGTTATTTTAAGGTTTCAGGTATGTTCACCAACTTTCTTTCAAAAATGCCAGGACTAGCACTGGTATATTACCCAGTTGGAAGTTACACAGACTAGTTATATCCAACAAATCACCTAGAAGGAATGCAGATGACTGATTTGGAAAATAATTCTGAAACTGGGGAGTTACAACCTATACTGCCTGAAGGAGCTTCAGCTGCCCCTGAGGAAGGAATGAGTAGCGACAGTGACATTGAATGTGACACTGAGAATGAGGAGCAGGAAGAGCACACCAGTGTGGGTGGATTTCATGACTCTTTCTTGGCACAGCCCCCAGATGAAGGTACAAACCGTGGTGTCATTTTCCACAGAGTAATAAAAACGTTGCTGCTGCTGCTTTTTCTTCTGCTGCTGTTGCTTGTTACTCTGCTCTGCTGCTTTCGCTTCTTCTGCTTCTGCTTCTTTTTCTTTAAATTGTCATTTGTGAGACAACATTCTTTGGTAAACCATGTGGTGAGTACAGAATAAATTTGGTAGGTAATGTTTGCCTTGGGTAGATACCTAGTGAGTGTTACTTATTGGGCGGAGAAGGGTTTACAACCCACTTCTGTGCAGCCTGTGACCTGCAAAAGACGTTTACATCCCAAAGCATTGTAAAAAACACACCAAAAAAATTAATTTTCCACAGAGACCATTTGTTACTTGCAGTGCCACAATGTTTACTATCTGCTCCTTTATAGAAAACGTTTGCCAACTCCTGGGGAGGTTTCAGATGTTTGTTTTTGTTTTGTTCTATTCAGAGATTTTTCTAGCCTACTATAAGATAACTTTTTAAAAATAACTTTTTCTGATTTCTTAGTAGTGCATGCAGATTATGGAATCATTAATTTTTATTCCCTCTTCCTCCAAAAAAATTCTTAAAAAGAAAACTCACCAAGCGAAACCTTGTTTTCTTCTGTTTTTATTTGCATTTGTTTACCTAAAAGAGATTGTATTTTATAAATAGTTTTGGAGCTGGTTGAATGTCACCCTGGGGGACGGGCGCGCCGTGGGGTGGCAGGGGCCGGGGCCGAAGGGATGCGCTCTCGGGGCCACGTGCCGCCCATCCCCCAGCCCCAAGAGCCGGGACCTAGCGCACGGCGGTGACAATGACCTGTGGCTTCTAGAACCCCAGCGGGCGTGGGCTCCTTGGAAACGGTCGTCAGTGCAGTGGTGGCCACAGCTTCTGCAGCACCTGATTCAGGCGGAGAGAGCAGGGCGCGGCTGGGCCAGGAGTCAGCCTCACCTTGAGGGGCGCCGGGGAGTCCGCCGTGCCTGGAGTGTGGCCCGGTGCCTCGGGAGCCGCCTCCTTACCCTCGCCCAGTCTGTGTGTTGGCGACACTTAATCGCCTCTCATCAACTCACCTATCACTTTTGCTTCCCTCCTACCCGTCCCCGGCTATCCGGACCTGCTTGCTCTATTTCCATTGTGGGATTTTATTTTTGGCTGTAAACTTATGAAAGTTAGGTTGACTGACCAACCACTGGAGAACACCTCTCCCAACCCTTCACCAGTCCCGTTCCTTTAGTGCTCACCAACTCCAGCCCAAGAATTCAGGGAGCCGTCAGTCCTTCCCAGGAGGTGACTGCACACATTCCTATGATGTGTGAGGTGATGCCAACCATCAGTGAAGCCGAAGGCTCCCCAGGAGGAAGTGGGAGCCATGCATCCGGCTCCCCTTCACGGGCAGACGCAGATTCACATTTTGAACAGTTGATGGTCTCCATGCTGGAAGAAAGGGACCGACTTCTTGACACTCTTCAAGAGACTCAAGAAACGCTGGCATTAACCCAGGGGAAATTACACGAAGTTGGTCATGAAAGAGATTCCTTGCAGAGACAGCTCAATACTGCACTTCCACAGGAGTTTGCTGCACTTACGAAGGAACTGAATGAATGCAGGGAACAGCTTCTGGAAAGGGAAGAAGAAATTGCTGAACTGAAAGCAGAAAGGAACAACACCAGGCTGCTTTTAGAACATCTCGAATGCCTTGTCTCTAGGCACGAGAGGTCTCTCAGGATGACTGTGGTGAAGAGACAGGTACAGTCCCCAGCAGGTGTGTCCAGCGAAGTCGAAGTGCTCAAAGCACTGAAGTCATT